TCTTGCCTGGGCGCAGCCGGGGCTTTTTAGGACGAGGCCTCAGTGTGGTAGTCCCGTCCCCGTGATGTATTTTCCGCCAGGATCTGGCTGGACGAAATCAAATGCAAATCACAAAATATTAGAGAAACTTAGTTTTTTTAGATTCGTTAGTAGTAGTTGTGGTAGGAGTGTGGATCTATCGAATCCATCTATATAATCAACACAGTAAGCTTGCCAGCTAATATGCTAACCTAGCTTTCTAGTTTACCTTTGCAAACACGATATGAACGTTAGCTCGGAGGAACGGCAACTATAATGGAGTGTAATAAAACTACTATGAACAAAAGCTAGTGGTTCATATTAGGCAAGCAATAACATGTTTACAATTGCAATCTTATACGGGTAGTCTGCTACATTCATTGTAGCTGGCATAAAAAAAATGTTTTTCCGAGCAAACTCATGTCTAGCTCTTAGTAGCCTTGTTGTTTAGCTCGGTGTCATACACGCTACGCCAGCTATAATGCAATTACGTTTCGCGACTGACCGTACGGTAAATCACCTGGAGTATACTGTCTATGAGTATTTTGTGTGTGAATGCAGACATTCTCCTGCTATGAGATACATGTATGTAAGGCCATCTGCTGATATTAGAGTTGATATATGGAAACGCTAGCAACTTAGTTAGCACAGTTAGCACTGGCTTAGCAGTCCGAAACATGTTTACACATTTAAACAGTCGTGGTAGATACCTTGTTTGATAAATACACAAATAACAATGCAAACTTACAGGTTGTGTACCCGAATCTTCCCCTGCTCCAAACGGTCAAAACAAACTAGGAATAGCATCGTCCTTCAGTTTCAAATGCTGTGCATATCCGGCCTCAAACTGGGCAATGTTTTGGAAGCTTTCGTCTGTGAAATGCCGGTTCTTCGAACCTCTGAAGGAACAGTGTTAAAAAGAAATTTCAACCACTGACTTCGTCGTGGTTCTTCCATCGGTAGGACAAACAGCTCAGATTTCTCCTCACATTTCAGGAAACAGGTCCTTGGCAGTGGCATGACTGGATCGATTGTGAACTGAACCAGAGCTTCCAACAGTAAATGTTAGGCTGGCAGAGGGTGCGGCCAGCGCCGCTGGGTGTGGCCATAGCTCTTCGGGATTGGTCCATTTCGTTCCGGGTACCGCATGACATCATGCCGTACCCGGAACTAAATGGAAGACTCAAATGGGCAGTGACGTATCTCCAACGAGGCGTTTTGGGGAGGTATTTTCTGTGTTAGAGTTTTACTCGCTACAGGGTGTACTTTGAGGGTTTTGACTCTGCACACCGTTTACATTCATAAAAACCTTCATAACACACAAGGGGACGGGTAATAACCGGAAAAGCATGACATGGGAGCCTTAAATTATGTCCATAACTTACACATAACACTTTAAAGAGGGTTAGGGTTAGGCAAAACTGTTGGCAGTGCAGTCTGGATATCGACAGTAACGGTACGTCCACACGGCAGCGTGCGTTGAAGCTTGCTGGTGGGCGTGTCTGGCGTGCGACCAACAACCAATCACATTAATCTCCCGCCCTGGACACACAAGCACGCGGTTTGATTGGCTCGAGCTTGTACTGGCATATGATTTGATTGGCTTGCAGCAGATACAGTATCTCTAAGTACTAGGCAAAAATAAAGAAAACTAAATTGATGCAGCAGAACAAAAGTGGTCCTTTTGGAGAGCACAATTAAACTAAATTCAGTACTAATCCGCAGTAATTCAGGTGTGAGCCTCAAAGAGCACGTTGAGGATGTGTAGAGGAAGTTGGGCTTGGCGGTTTTGTTGGTTGGTTGGTTGGATGGATTTATGGATGGAGGGATGGGTGTTTGGATGGATGGATTTATAGATTGATGTTTGGATGGATTTATAGATTGATGTTTGGATGGATGGATTTATAGATTGATATTTGGATGGATGGATGGATTTATTTGTGGATAATGCTAGGATGGATTTATTGATGGTTGGATTGGTGGGTGATTGGTTGGATGGGTATGAAGGGATTGATGGGTGGGTAGGTGGATGGACGAATTAAGTTGCATGGATTTATGAATTTATTGATGGATGGATAAATGGGTGAAACAAACATGGGACTTATACCCAAGGGAGTATTATTACTAACATGAATAACACAATAAACTCACTTATCCTAAACTAAACTATTATTTGTGTTCCTTAAACATAACAAAGACGTAGAAAACAACCTTAACCAAGTGTTTCAAGGTACAACCATTATATACAAGAACATGCATTTTCCTCAAAACACATTTATGAGTCTATGTTAGCTGAATGGGATTGATTCTGTAGGAGACAGGGTCGCAATTTCAGCCAACTCATGTTCTCATCTAGGTATGAAGCTTTGCTCCATGTTTGATCAGAGAGCCTGGAGACAAAACTTTGCTGAGTTGAGTTTTTCCCTTGGACTTGTACCGCCATAACCCCAATGTCAGAGTGTTGTTATGATTCAAAATCAGAAAGCCCCCACTGCTCCACCCACTACTCTGGACCTGAGCCCTTGTTTTGCCTCTCTTTCATCTCTTTGGTGCTCAGCTGACCTCTGTGCTCGGACCACATCTCACCCCTATGTCAAGCCCCTCATTAGACCCCGAAAACCTGAACACACAACGTTAATGGTCACACATAAACACACCCTCAATATGCAAACCTAGAAGAACATTGTGGGTGTTAAAGAAGGAGAATAATACACCAGGGTTGGTTTGAACCATGTGTAGACCTCCATGTATGGCTCTTTCTACCCACCAGTGTGTGTGTGTGTGTGTGTGTGTGTGTGTGTGTGTGTGTGTGTGTGTGTGTGTGTGTGTGTGTGTGTGTGTGTGTGTCGTCCTTGGGTTTTCAAAGACATACTTCGTGCCGGATAAGTGCGGTCACATGGATGTTCACATGTTCTGGTGTTTTTGTGATGCTCTGGTAGATCAAGTTCAAGGTTCAATTGGTAAGAGAGTTCAGGAAAGAAACAAAAGGGCCAACAGAAAAATAATAAGGTGGAGACAAGTGGATTCTCGTTAAAGCAGAAGAATAAGACCACCAACAACATCCTGCTTTTCCATTTTACCTGCCTTTCCACTATTTATTCTTAGATGAGTCCTATTTTTTTGTATTCAAAGTCTGTTAAAAGAAGTGGTCGAATGTAACAAAGTACACTTACTTAAGTATTGTACTTAACTACGAATTTAAGGTAATTGCACTTTACTGGAGTATTTTCTTTGTTGATAGACGTATACATCTACACTATAAAAGGACATATTGTACATTAACTCAACTATATTTAAATAGCATCTTTAGTTTTTAGTTTCTTTAGAAATGAATGATGTTTTGTTATGTATTAAACTAGCCAACAGTTTATACAAAAATGAGAGTTTGAGGGAACAGAAATTTATTTTGTATCATTTTAAGATTTTTTAGTGCCTACTCATTCTTATTTACATTTTTTGGGATTGACCACCTTCAATACTTTAAGTATATTACGCTGTTTATACATTTGACTTAAGTAACATTTTAAATGCAGGAATTATACTTGTATCTTAGTATTTAAACTGTGTGGTATTAGTACTTGTAATTCAGTAAATAATCAACATACTTCCTCCAACACTGGTTAAAAGCAACCTTGAGTGGATGGGACTGGAACATGGTTGTTGTTTGGACAGGATGTAAATGTTTGTGTGTGTTTGTGTGTGTGTGTGTGTGTGTGTGTGTGTGTGTATGTGTGTGTGTATGTGTGTGTGTGCAGTGTGGGAGTGAGACATGTCTCTTACAGACGTGAGAAAACGGCCATGTCTCTGAGACGGTGTGTGGACGCTCTAATTGGCAGAATAGAATTACAGTTAGTTTGAAGTGAATTGAAGCTAATGTAATGAGTCGAGTCAAAGCAGGGCATGCAACTGTGGGAAAAAAGAGCTTTCTGCAGCGCTCTGCGGACACACAAAAGAAACGGAGTGTGTCTGCGCTTGCATCTTGTAGGGATGTCCAGTCGGGTGAACTCTCTCTATCCTTTCCTCTCTTCGTTTGTTGCGGTTTCCATGGGGATGGGGATAGGCTTGCATCAGAGGCCCAATAATTTGCAGAGAGCCTGTCTGGATGTGACACGTCCTTTTCAGCCGGGCATTGTTTGGATGTTGATTTACGTGTGTTTGTTGCACTTTACCACCTCCTCCTCCTCCAGCACCTACAGCGGGGGTGGAAAACCTTTTAAAGCATCGATGCAGAAAAGAACCAGAAAAGACTTCCCATTTGTCACACTTCCGGTTCCATCATTTTTTGAACGTGTAAGCTTGAACTATAGTCTGTGGTTAACGCAATCTTATGAAATGTTCACGTTGTTCTACGTCATAAAATAAGTCAGTAAATACCCTAGTCGTGAATGTCCAAAGCTTCTATGTGTCCTAAATAAAAAAATAAAACAAAATTCATTACTCGCAGAAGACATCTGTTTTTTACTGTTCAGCTGTGATGTAGTTCGTTAAAGTCTAACGTTAACTTTTTAGTCCTGGCAATTGCATGTGCGCCTTAAAAATCACAAAGTTGTGTATATTGTCGATTATTTTTCTGGACAAAACATGTAAGTATCATAAATGTGTGTTGGCCACAAAGCTAGGAAGGATCTAGGGAAATCCTATTGCTTTTATTCGAGGAAGCCGCAGCGTTGCTAGCTTCCGAGTCAGCCGACAAAAATACGTCATCAACGCATCACTCTATTTTGGAAGACATGCTTGACTGTTTCTCATTTTATAGCAACATGTCATTATGATTTCTCCCTATGCTGTTTTCTCTGTCTCTCTGTTTGAAACGCTGCTTGTTTTCCAACCAGCCCATCCCTCTTCCCGTCCAGTAGGCGTTCCTACAAGAAAGAGGAATCCAATCACAGCCGGCCCTTCACCCCATCCCTCAATGGTCAGCCTGTTAAGGACTTTTTGTGTTCACGTTCTTTCTTTCCTTTTTTTCTGCTACCCCTCATTGGGCCACTTGAGCCTGGAGCAGATGGAAAGATTGTAGTGCGGGGGAAAGTATACCAGCAGCAGAGAGAGTGAAGATTGGAAGAAGCCATGCAGAGAGTGAGGCAGTGCAGCGACAATGCTTGATGAACTGAACCACTGACCACTTAAAAGGCTTACTCTTCCACTTTGACTGAGCCCCAGAGAGATCAAGGAATCAGACAGGACAGTCTTAAGGGGAGACATCGTCATAACTGATGGGCAAAAACCAGCTTGGGACTATTAAGAAATAAAAGAAAGATTTTCAGACGAGAGGATATCTACAGATGCAAGCAAAAAGTGACCAGATAGAGAAGAAGTGAACAATAAAAGTGAAAGGATTCCTACAGGTGTGTCCACAAGGATTTGCTCAAAGACGACATACCAGAGTCGCAGTAAAACAGGGAGTGAGTGAGCGTGAGCAGACAGAAGTCCAGGGACAGAGCTTAGAGAAGGATGGCCAACTCAGGGCTCCAGTTGTTGGGTTATTTCCTGGCGTTGGGCGGATGGATCGGCATTATCTCCACCATCGCCTTGCCCCAGTGGAAGCAGTCTTCGTACGCCGGCGATGCCATCATCACGGCCGTGGGTCTCTACGAGGGGCTGTGGATGAGCTGCGCCTCGCAGAGTACGGGACAGGTGCAGTGCAAGATCTTTGACTCCATGCTCTCGCTGGACAGTGAGTACTTTTTTGTTTTATATTGGATCGACATAATCCTCACTAACTCGTACTGGTTCATGCCTTCAATTGCTTGTAGACTGTTTGGTTAAGCTAAGCCTAACCCTAACCTTAACCCTAACTCATACTACGAAACGACATGATACGATGCAATACGATGATACTTTTATTGTCAGATCAAGTCTGAAAATGTTATCGTATCACAACAGCTCCATTTGCAACATCAACAAGGACACATTTAAGACAATAAACAAGGAAACAGAAACAATCACGTTTTTTCCCTAAATGTACAATTGACCAGGGATTGAATCTACATTATATTTGAAGATATTAAATGATAAAGGAATATTGTGAGTATGATAATTATCTTATTTGAAAAATCATATAATTAACTAAATGTGAAAGAAAATCTAAGTGGTTTTGAAGGGGAACTGTGTAGATAATTAAAGGATATTCCCTTAGCTTATTTGCCAGATGACGGTACACCATAGTTTACATTTGGATAAGGCAATAATCTGTTTGTAGACATCACAAAGAAAGGCTTGTTGTGTTTCTTGGCCGTGATGAAGTTCTATGTGACTTTTCATGAGCCAAAGGATGACAAAAGAAAGATCCAGTGAAACCATCACCTTCAATCTGTCTTCCTAAATTACCCCGGGTGAAATATCCATGACGTTGTAATTCAAATCATAACAGTTATTGTAACTCGCCCATTAACTTGGCTGTTAAAAAATAAAGAGAGTAAACAAGTCCCCAAGCTCTCGCTATCTGGGACATATTAAACTCATAAGCTGTAAATCTCACTTAGAATGCTTCTGTTCAAATTAAAGCTCCAAAACATCATGAAGTGTAATGTGTGAGGAGTGGGAGGGGGTCAGGAATGTGGGGTTAAGACATAAATTAGCTCCGAATATGAGCCTCTTGTCATCTCCAATCTGTAAATGGGACCTAGTGACTCATAATTAATGGCACACAGATTATAGGAATCCATCCATCTAGTGTCTGCTTAAATCATCCTATTAGAGATTCTAATGAGAGACTACAGGGTGGGGTTCGGTTCAGAAGTCATTTTCATAAAACAATGAGCACTTTTTGTCTGTGGTTATATGTGCTTTCTGCTGTGTGCTTGTCACGCTTGCCTTGGAGCAACAAATGAGGCACTTTGCAAACATTTTGGTGTATATCAAAACACTTTCTGTGAGCTGATCTCCCATCTCCTTTGGTGCGTCGCGGCGATAAGAACGGCGTATTGTCTTTGCGTATGAATAGGGACTGTTTGGAGAAGAAAAGGGCAGTGTTGAGGCCAAACACCAGAGATATTCCCAGAATGCACTCCGGCGTCCCCACACGCGCACATTGTTCCATTTGTCCATTAACACAGCCCGACTCAGTGTGAAGACAAACAGTGAGGAAATTCATCTTTAAGGGTTAAGGACACATTACTGAAATCATCCGAGCATTCTTGATCAATCACAGGTTTTTTACTCAGGTGCTTCCCCCCCCGAGACAGATTATGAAATGGAGCAAGATGAGCATTCAATCATGTGTCCAAGGGTCAGAGACAGGCACACCGCGGTTCTGAATGTTGATTAAAACACCCCATTGGCGTGGGTTTGATCCGACTGATGTGAGTTCTAGATTCGCAGCGGGAGCAGCATGTGATGGAGGAGCTAATTGTTCACCAGACTGTGACTCCCAGCAGCCGTGGTGGAAACTGTTGGATCTGCTGCGGGTTCTAAACGCTCAAATAGGAGACGATGATCAGTACAGAAGGATGGGTTTTATTCTCAGATGAGTGCAAATGGTGGTGCTGAAAGGACAGCGTTTCAGAACCAGACACATCTTAGCACGATGTTAAAGAAAACCTGATAAGATAACCTGCTTCTGCCAATCTGTTTGGTCACATTCGTAAACCTTGAATCGTGCATTGTCGCCGGTTTTGCATTGTAAATTCACGTCAAAGTCTCCCTGTGCTCCCCTAAAGGAACTTGGGATTTATAAGATAAGGACATTGTCACGGTACTCTAAAACTTTAGATATGAGTAATCATAAAATCAGCCTGGTCAAGCAACTGTCCAATGTATTCAGGGACAACGCTATATATGTTTCTCATGGTTGACCAATCACAATCAGGATCCATTTATTCGTCCCACAGAGGGTACATTTACATTGTTGAGCAAAGAGACCGATAAAGACACAAATAAAACAGTATTAGTTGTGTTCAAATAATTAGTATACATTAAAAGAAGGAAAGATGAGTGGCAGCGTTATACAAAATATAGTTAAACAAATAGAAAATAATAGTAGAGTAGCTGCCAAATGACGTTAGTAAATAGTATATTTCCTAGTACATACTGCACAGTTTTATTTTACAACATTGTTGGTTTAGCATTGGGAGTGCAAAAAAGAATAAGAAGTCAGCAATATCATGTTTACGAAACAGGATTAGGGCCACATGTGAAATGCTTTTGGATGTGAACAAAAGATAAAAAAAATTATTAGAGTTCTGAGAAAAAAGTTAGAAATTTCTAAAATCACAAATAGTTACTATACAAAAGGCTCAAGAATGCAAATGTTACTCAAACAGAAGGAAACGGTGCACTTGACAACATTTTCAGCCATTGATTGATCTACATTTGGTGCTGTTGTGAGTATTTGAGTTAGCAGTATGTGCGATTGATGTTCAAAAAATGGTTTATGGAGGAACAGCCGAAGCAACAGCGTGGCTCATTGACATTTTTTCTTAAATCTCTGGCACAGAAAAATATGATAATATCTTCTTAATCTTGGGATATGGCCTTGTTAACTGATTAAGTGAACTAAACGTTTGCTTACAATTTAGAGCATCGAATTAGTGAAAGTAAGTAAGTGAAATTACTTTTGATGGTTGTGTAGTGAGTGGGAAAACAGATATTATGTGCAATAGAGTCACCGGTTACCTCACAATGGGACCTAACAATGCCCACACACACACACACACACACACACACACACACACACACACACACACACACACACACACACACACACACCACACACACACACACACACACACACACACACACCCACACACACACACACACACACACCAACCTTGGCACTGGAGAGAGGCCCCCTCTCTTTCTCCTTTTAGCCTTTGCTTTACCCCAAAAGCCCCCAATCGGCCACCTAGTTTGTCATCAACTCAAACTGCTCAGATTTGGCCCTAACCTCTGCACACCCTCAGAAATACAGAAGAATACTCAGAGTGGATGAAAGAAAAGAACTCTCTCTGATGAAGACTATTCAGAGACTCCATCAAAAGAAACTGTGGAGCCATAAATCAGACTTCAAAGTTTGTTCCATCCTCTCTCCCCTCCATCATAAGTCCCTTCAGATCAGCTTCTGAACTTCACTGCTGCGCCATGAATGATGGTGTGTGTGTTTTTGTCACAATGATAAATGATGACTTTAGGTTCCTGCCTGACGGTTGATCTACAGCCTGTTTGAAGATCTAACACACAGTCCTGTTCTGTTGTGTCCAGTTCAGCCTGGTGCTTTATTCTTGATGTTGGAATTTGACAAAAACATCAACAGGTCCAATTAATAGTTTTTTTGCCAAAGCTTTGAAGACCACAATGTGTGAGTGAAAACTCTGGTCAAAACAATTGACAAACTCATCCATTGCTGATCTCGGATAATAAGGGCGTTTTTTTATAGAAACTTTGAAGATTAGTGTGACTTTGACTTTGTTTCTGGTTAAACTATTCTAGATAAGATTGTAAGTTAAATCTTCACCTTGTAAACAGAGGTGTTGTCTTGAAATTGTCACTTAAGATCCTCTTAATAGCTCTTTTCCTGACATTTGTCAAGCTTTCCTAATGTTTTAATTGACTTTCTCTTATCTAAATCAGTGGAAAACATCTTTCTTGAATTGGGAAACAGTTGACAAAAAAATATTCAATCAATGTTAACCCACTATCTTTTTTTCCATAACTTTACGCTCTAGAAAAAGCCAAGATATTTCTATACTAATCATTAGCCGCTTTCACACCAAGTACTTTGCCGTACTTAGTGCCCAACACTTAGTGCCAGCACTTAGTTCCCCCATGGAACTAAGTACAGATCGCGTTCACACCGGAATAAGTTCCTGAGAGAGGATTACGCAAATGAAGCCGCTGACGTCACTTCTTCTTCTTCTGCTTTGGGTTTACTGGCAGGCCGCAAACAACTTCACGGCGTATACTGCCACCCGAAGTCCCCCGGCCGGAAGTCCCCGGAGTTGGGGACTGGCTTCAGTAGAAGCTGCTGGGACTCCCAGCAGCTTCTACTGAAGCCTTCCGAGTAAATCGCCAGAACGCCGACACCTCCTCATCTCCACCGCTCCCATGTTTTATTTTGTGTTGCCATAAGTTATTCTCTCTCCGTTGGTGCGCGGGGCTAATGCTAATGCTAATAATGCTAATGCCAGCAAATACAATGGCGGCTTCAAAAAGCTTTTCTGAGGTTTACGGGGCGTGGTTTGCAATTCGCCCAGCCAATAGAAATTGGTACTTTTTTCTCCCCAGGAAAGTACCACCTCTCTAGCAGGCACTACAAATGGGGGTAAAAGTTCTCTGAACTATGTTCTCTTTTTGGTGTGAACGCAAAATTCCAGGCACTATCGGAACTAAACGGGAAAAGTACGGGTGAAAGTACTCCGGTGTGAAAGCGCCTAATTACTTTATATTTGAAATATCTTGCTGATTCTGTAAATAGTAGTAAAAGGCATTTGTTTTCTAGAACTTTAGAAGATAAGATTCTGGTAAACTTTTCTAGATAATGACGTTGATTCTTGACCTTGTTAGCAGGAGTTTTGACAGGAAATTATCCCTGAATAACCTCTAAATAGCTCTTTTCTTGATGTTTGGCAGCTTTTCTTTTGTTTTTATCAATTTTGAATCAACTCTTTCCACTCAAGGTTACCTTACTGTTTTTTTTAATCTCCAGAACATTCTCAACTATTGACATGTCAATTAGTTTGACAAAGAATATTCACTCATGTAAACTTACAATCTTTTTTCTCCAGAATTTAAGATCCAAAAGCTCAACTAGTGACAGACCGGAGCTTAAACCCTAACCCTAACCCTAACAATTTAAAAAGTACAAAGTGGAAATTGACCTTATGGTTTTTGTTAAAAAATGTGATTTAAAGTGTTTGTGACTTTCTATGATTTCGTCCTTGCATTCCTCCTATTCTGTGAAAACACACTGCTGTACACTTTAAGCCAATGTTATTTGAAGCTAATGCCTGTGACCTTGGCTGTTAACCCTGTATGAAAGGCTCAGTTATGTTCACTTTAAAAACCCTTTAACTATTCTTCTTGCTTTGTCAGATATCAGATCAGGATATTGGGCTTTGCATGTTTACTTCCACCGCCGCTGTGATTTCAACAATCCCCTTGCCTGTTGTAAATAAGCGGCACTCCATCAGTTTCTGACAGTATCATTAAGCGCTTTGCATCGCTTCAAACACTTCTGTGAGCGTTTGAGGCAGCATCGTCTGATCGCTGTGGCGACAGCGCCGTGAAAACAATCTTGCTTTGTGACAAAGCCACACTAATCCCACTGTGTGGAACATGTAAAGCAGGCCTCCTACAGCTGCTCAGTGTGAGAGAGAGAGTTGTGTGTTTCATCTGTGTCTATTCCACCTACAGTCAACGCATGTGTGCAGATTTTGTGCATTTGTGTGTAAATATGTTCCTCCCACTAAGTTATGTGCGCGCCGAGGCCTGTGTGGGCGGCACATTCGATTTTTGAGAAGGCAAAACCACACTGGAATGATCGGGAGAAAGACTTGCAAGATCATTTAAGGTCCTAAAAGTTGGAATTCCCCGGCCGGGAAACAGGACAGTGGTGGACTCTCCCTAATGAGCTTTCTGTCAGAAATGCATGTGGTCGCCCATCAATCAGCATTTGTAGCTTCATTCCCTTCTAATCATCACTTTAATGTCCAGAAATGTGTGTTTTATTCCAAGTGATGGACTGTTTGTTATTTCTCATCTCCTCACTCTTCCCTCTCCTCTCTTTCAAATCACTCTCCCTTTTTTCCATATCTTCTATTGCATCTCCGCCTCCTCCTTTTCCTTTCTTTATCTAGTCCACATCCAGACATGTCGGGCCCTAATGGTGGTGTCGGTGCTGCTGGGCTTCATGGGCATGATCATCAGCGTGGTGGGCATGAAGTGCACTAAAGTGGGAGATAACAACCCGACCACCAAATCCCGCATCGCTGTGACCGGAGGAGCTCTCTTCCTGCTCGCAGGTGAGATTTCTGCTGTTCATGAAACCAATAACATACTGCAGTGCATTCAGCAAGAGAGGCGTCTGGTATTTTTCTAGCCTGAATCTCTCACCGGAGGTCTTCTCTAGTAATTAGAGTCCCTGCTGGACAGGAAGTGGTCATTTTAGACGCATTAGTCGCTGACCTCAGCCATAAACCACGAGTCCAGGGGAGAAAATTAACTGAATCAGGACTCTCCATTCATTGCTGCAGCTACGGGCTTAGCTTAGCCGAGCATTAATGCAGCGATCTCATTAATCTTTTGTCCCCCCACAGGTCTTTGCACCCTGGTGTCTGTGTCCTGGTACGCCACTCAGGTGTCCTATCAGTTCTTCAACCCAAATACACCACCCAACGCAAGGTATGTGAAAGAACTGCTACTGCAAAATACCTCAACTCAAGAGGCTTGAGATTAAACATGCAACCGTCCACATGTTACATTTACATTTTTGTCATTATAATTACAGTTTAGTAGCTAAGAAAATCAATTTGTGTATGCATATAGTCTTGGACTGTTTTGAGGCATTGGACTAATGTCCCCAGTTTCTTATCAAAGTCCCAAGAACTTCAGATTATCCATAGGAGGGTTTGTTGCAGAAATAATGCGACACAAAATGCTCGGTTAACCAATTGGTTCAGCACTAGACACTAGATTATTTCATGTGAACACAGTATTGCATTTTTCTTTCCTCTTGATATATATATTTTTTTAAATAATCTCAGAAATTACTTGTTAATGTAATAAAAAAAGAGTAAGAGACAAAAAGTGTGTCTGAGTACCAGGAACAGATTTGGACTCCCAACTTGTAAAACATTCCAGTTTAGTCAATCGACCAACGCTTCAAACTTTGATGCTCTGCTTACCCCCATAACATGTGCACATGTCAATATACATGCAAATACTGGATTCTTACGTTAAACGTAATTGTTTACAGGAAACCACTCAGGTTAGGTTAAGGCAACAAAGCTTTTTGGTTTAGAAAAATATTTGGGTTTGTGTTAAAGTAAGTCAATTAATAACGTTTTGTACTTGACACAAGTAGTTGAGAATTAGTCAATTGGTTTAATAGACTGTTTTGTCTATATGCTGCAGTTGATATTCTTTGGTATGTATGCAAAAAAACATATTTAATTTTGTCTTAATTTACATTATTTAATTTCATATTCTGTTCTTGTACATATCCCATATTCTATTGGCATGTAAATAGACTTTTTGCAGTATTTTGTATTTTTGTATTTTATTATATATGTTGCATTGTTGGAGGAGCTCAGGTCAGAAGAATGTCATTGTCTACATTGTAGCTTTGTGCATATGACAATAAAACCTTTGAATCTTTGAATATTGAATGTAATAGGTTAAAGCAGGTCTTCCTTTTGCCATCCAATGACCCAGAGTCAATAATAACAAATTGCAATCATTAAAACTCACAGCCATACTGGATAACTGTCATCCTAACAGCCTCTCCTCCTCTCTCTCTCTTACAGGTATGAGTTTGGCTCGGCCCTGTTCGTGGGCTGGGCCGCGGCCAGTCTGACGGTGCTGGGCGGCGGCCTGCTGTGCTGCTCCTGCTCTAAAGAGGACATGCGAGGGCAGCAGTATTACCGCCAATCACAGCCCTCCACAACCAGGGAGTACGTGTAACCCCCACCCCCTCCCTGCAGCCACTCAAACAGAGAGCATCGGACATGCTCCTCCTCAAATTATACCTGTTTCAGAAACAAAAAACAAAGAGACTATCGAGTGTACATACATGCAATTTATGTAGGACTCACACACTGCCATGAATACAGACACAGGAACACAAACAGTATTACACTCAAGCACAATATCCACCAGTTGTCTATTGGTGGCAAAAACCTTAAATAACCTCCATATTGTATGTCAATCATCCATCTTATAATGATTTAATAGAGTTTCAATAGAGTGGTGCAGTAATGAGTCCTAGACCCGTAAATGAGTTCCCTCGAGATCAATAACATAAGGTATTTGGTTAATAAAAGCTTAAGAGATGTTCACGCTTTGTTCTACAACATAAAATACGTCAGTAAATACCTCACTCATGAATGCAGCCCTTTACGGGTCGCTCTTGGAAAAGAGATTTTAATCTCAATGAGTCTTTACCTGGTTAAATAAAGGATATATATATATAATGTCCGAAGCTTATATGTATCATAAAAACAGTAACTTAATTAGACTATTAAATGCGTTTAGCTTAGCGTCGGTGACATGAAGTAATATGACCGCGATGTAGTTTGTTTATAGCCTAACGTTAGCTTTTTAATTCTGGTGATTCAAGTTACGCTTCAAAAATAAAATAATTGTGTAAATATGTGGGGATTATCCCACTGAACAAAACGCGTTAGCATTTTAAACGTGTGTTTGCCAAACGCTTATTTTCTGCAATATTTCAAAATCCAATGGAAAAATGCTGTTACTTTTTAATAAGGGAGCCTTTGCGATGCTAACTTCTGGGTCCGCATACCAAAAAACGTAATCACTGCATCACTCTATTGTGAATGGAAACCTCTCATTTGCCGTAATGTCATTATTTATCGACCTCAAGTACTGTAAGTGCAGCTGCTATAATTTCACCACAAAAACTCACACTTTAAAATAAAAAGATAACAAATGAAAGATAAATGTAAAGTGTACCAAAGCAGAGAGAATGGACATGGAGCTAGAAATAACGATACTGCAGACATTTGCTGAACGTTCATTAGCACGTCCTTTGCTTCCTGGTTGGAGCTGCATCTGTGTATTGCCTCCATATTGCTTTGTGTATTCACTCTCCACTGGTGCAGTTACATTGTGTGAAGGGTAAGCCCTTACTTCAAAACTACTGGCAGTAACTAACCTAAGCCAAATAGAAGAATGATGTTCATAAAAAATTAGCAGAAAGAAATTAACTGCCTGATTTTGCTTGATAAAAAAAGAGTGGGAAGGCCATTCTGAAGTCATTGAGAAGTCAGAAGGTCCAAGTCCTAAAAAATCAGCCAATAAAATACCCACCAATTAGTGGTTTTCATTTGTTGACTGTAAACTGTCTCCGGGTTATAAAACCACTCCACAATTCAAGAGAAAATCACCAGGACTTGATTGCAGTAGCCTAATGAAGACTGTTTACAGTAGGCTACTTGTGGTGAGCATAACCAAATTGACAATGAGGACGCAGGTAGGTTCAGCGTCCTGAATAATTAAGGCCTCAGGCAGCCATTATTTTGTATTTCTGACAAACTTCCTGTCTGAAAAAGAAGAAGCTAGTTCTCAAATAGTCCACAATAGTGTTGAACAACCATTTGAGCATGAAGACACAATGTGAACTGCAGTAGTGGAGATAAATTGTTGTTATTAAAGAGTTTGATGAAGTATGAATGCTGTTAAGGATAATTTCATCATTTTACGCTACACTAAAAACAAGCAGACGCTCTCATCAACACGTATCACCAAAATACTCCATCTCCTAACACCATCATTCCACATTCATACAATCCTCTTTATCTCCTGTATAACCGAAGCAGTCTAAGCTAATTCATGTTATTCTCACACACGGGTAATCTCACTGTGGATCATAAGCTATTCTACACTCGTACACAGAGAGTTAATATAAGCTAGCATGAAGCTTAAAACAGCTGTGATTTCTGCTTCATTTTTAAAAAGTGCCTCACATTAGAGCCTTTAAAACTCAACAGTGGGCTTAATTGACTCTTGAGTTCCCTCTTAATGCTCCCTCATACATATCCCTTGTTCCTGTTTCCTGAGAGAGCCTGTCTATCACTGTTCCAGATAATAAAGCCATTCACTTTTCTTAGAATTGCTTCCATTCCCCCCATTTCCGGCCTCTCTTCTCGGTAGACACTTGTTTCTGGAGTGCTCTGTTTTGTCAGATTGGGTTGGGGGGTTGTCAGGTCAATAGAAAAAAATCCCAGCGCCCTTTAAATAAAAGGGGGATGTCAGTCGTCGCTGGTCTGTCATTCGCAGCTGTGCTTTGAATAGGGATTGCGCAACAACAAGTCTGATGAAAAACTACCTGTAAAGCTAAGTCCAAAGAAAAAAAACCTTGCAGCTCTCGATTCATATTGAGCTGGGTCTTCTCATCTAACTCTCAGAGAGAAAGCTAATAAGTATCCATCAACATATTTAAAAAAAGTGGCTACAAACTTAACTACAACATATATTTTGTAGTTTCCCTCCCAGTCCATCATTATTAATATTCATTTGACATTTGTCATCTCTTAAAACTGTAGATTACTGAAATGTAGCTTCCTCTTTTTGCTAACATCTTTATAATCACCAATAATCCTTGGTTGCGGTGGAATTGTCAAAAGAAATCAGTGAAAAATGTAACTGGGTTACGGAAAGATGTGAAGAAGAATTCATTAGTACTTAGGAAAGGAGACTGCGGTGCTAAAAAAATCAGACTGTACTTACACTGAGCGTTGTATTTATGATACGTCATTAGATGTGATTGATGTCTGCGGTGGTAAACTACAGTTTTCCATACAAGGGATTACAAAAATCTATCTAGATACTGTCCTTTGCCCTGTAAGTTATTTTAATGTTGTTTTATGAACGTGGACAGCAGTTAAAAATATATTCTCCATTACCAAGGTTGGAGATTAGATAAAAAAATGTAAGTGAAATGTAATGGTTGCTCATCGCCCTTCTGTCCACACGTATTAATCCACAGGACTCGCCATTCAAACATTTTACAAAAAAGTTTAAGAAACCCCACACTCAGTCAACACTTGGAAATGTTGACTGTTTCTGATCATTTCACAGTAATCAGCGTAGCGTTCATATTTCGTCTTTTAATTTAACACAGTGTTGAAAGTTAAAAAAATATTGGCAGTTGGATAAACGATGGCATAAATTGAGTTTAGGCTTAATAATAATACATGAGACTTATATAGCGCTTTTCTAAAAACTCAAAGACGCTTTGACAAAGAATAAAAAAAAAAAAAGAAAAATACAAAAAGAGATAAACAAAAACAGAAAAGAGGGGGGGGGGTTGGTCAGTGGTTGAATGCAGTGTTGAACAGGTGGGTTTTGAGTGATGTTTTGAATGCGGTGAGGGAGGAAGAGTCTCTGAAGGTTTAGGGTTATGCTTAAACAATCTCATAGGCTGTTTCCGTGAATGCCCGAAAGTCCTTTCACGCAAAACTTTGCGGTATTGTGGGACAGCATTTTCTTCTTTCCTTTCGTTAAGGAAGGTCCAGTATTTCCTGAGCTAAAGGAGATAATAAAGACAGCATTGAAGCTCCTTTCCTTATCCTTTAAAGCATTCAAACAGCTCTTATCCTAGCCGTCACTTAGGTACTTCTGGGTCATTTTACTATGTAAGGAACCTTCCAAAGCAAATTTGACAATTCGACAGCAACCCTAGTTTCTTTCTTAGTAACCCTAACCCTAATCCTCACCCTAACCCTCAGCCTAATCCTCACCCTAACCCTAACCCTACACAGCTGTTGGAGAATCTGAGCGGTCTTGATGTGTCTCTTATTTCCCCTCCTGTCCTCTAATCCTGTTCTTCTCTGACTGTCTTCTTCTCTCCTCTAATTCAGGGCAGAGTTGTTGAGTGAAACTAGTTTCCCTGACTGATCAGCCCCTGCCTTATTATCGAGGACTGTCCGACTGTCCAACCACTGTCTTCCCCTATTTTTCCCCATTATCGCTTAGACCCTAAATTTGGATAGTAGAATATTCTCTTTTCTTCAGTACTACATCTGCACCTTATCAGTCTTGTCGGGAATCAAGATGAATTGTCTTCTCCCATTCCCCCCCCCCCACCTTCTTCTTTTTCTGTAAATATGGACTCTTAAAGGATATGTGAGAGATAAGACGACCTCCTCCATTTCAACCCTCTCCTCCCAACCCTCCTCTGTCTCCCTATTGGTGGAAAGTTAACAATAATTTGAAACCCTTTGTGGTTCTGTTGCGCTGATTCATGATTTCGCTTATATCCTATGACCTCTGGGTGTTTTTGTAAATGTTTCTTTAGTTTTCTTTGTGTATGCGCTGTGACTGTACTTTGACTGAAACGTGTCTTTTTTTCCCTTTTGAATTGCAGACCAAATGTTAAAAGTACCCCACCAGAGAAAAGGGAGCAGTACTTGTAGTTTGGGAGAGTCTTCTGGTCTTACCATGGTTTAGATTCTGTCAACAGACAAAACCCTCCCACTGAGGAATTCAAAAACAGACAAACAGACACAATTAAAGTAAGAAAAGCATCCTTTTTAAAGCAGCAACATCAATTTGAGTCTTTGTTGAAGTAAAAATATGTTTTAATGTAATAGTTGTTTCAGTAGTTTTGAGAAAGATGATATCCTGGTCTTGTCTGTTTTGTTGACTTCAGGAGAAACAGTAATTCAGGGTATGTTTCTGTAACATGTTAAAATGCCCGGGTGTACATACCACCTACTCTATTCTTTATTTTATTTTTACTACATATATAATGTTTTACTACAGTGCCTTATAACACATGTTTGTGCACATGTATGTTTTTGACTTCATGGATTCGTTAAAGTCTCCCATCCCTTCTGAGGGATGTGTTCATAGTTCCTCTGCCAGCCATTCTGTGTGCCTTTTTCTATTGTTGGATTTCTGAAAATGAATGTGAAGCTACTCTAAAGTACCACTTATGAAACAACAAATACATACGATTGATCTTAAGCATAGTGCCTTACGCCACTGTTTGTAATAAGCTGTGTGCCTGTTACCGAGTAGCCTGGATTGAGGATATACCCAGTACATTCATTTTGTTTCGTTAAGTGCCAATATGATTTTGTGTAAACGACAGAGTCATTGTAGTATTGACTGTAAAGGACGTACTGTACTGTGTGTTGTCTCCTGTACTAAGGAACGCCAGTTTTCTGAGTGTTCAAATGCCCTTCTGATGCCTGCATTTATTTACCATGTCATTCCTTTCTCTAATATTTACCTCCTCAATGTTGTGTATCATCTCATTTACAGTATACCCCTGTCTGTTTCTTTTAGAATAAAGTAAACAGAGGAATAAAAATGGATTTGGTCATGAGTCAGTGCTTTTTCAGTTGTTTCCTAACTTTTCACATTGCCTGACTTTTTTTCACTGCTCCCCTTCTACTCGTTTCTCCTTTCCAGCTCAAATACTTATTTTGCACCCCCGTTGTTCAATAATTGCAGATGTGGAATTCCACTTCTGCTCCACTGGACTGTAGCACACTCTCTGAGGCGGACTCACAACTTGCTCACCACTACAAATGATAACAAGGCTTGAAATGTCCTCCCATGTTGAGATTCAGCTATGAAGCATGTGTTACATTTCAAGCTTGGCGTTAAGGGTTAGCATCAATGTGAGAGGAAGTCACGCCTTTTGAGTATCAAGATTTTCATCCCAGCTGGTGATACTACTTCTATATTGCTCCTCAAAAGGTTAACAGATACATGAATTAATATCGAATCAATGTCCACCTGCCAACACAACAAGGGTTATTTGTTGCTGCAATCATTCTTCCTGTCCATGCTTGCCATGCCAACCCAACATCCACAACCTTCATTCTGTGCAAAAATGCATTTCAAAGTTCAAGCAAAGCTTAAAATTATGCATTACCAGTCTGAGCCAAATCAAGAAGGTTAGGGTTAGGGTTAGGGTTTCTGTCAACCCAATCAGCCAACAAGAATGTCATTACTAGACAATTCTGCAAAACCGTAACCCTATATAAAATGTCCTGCACAAATTATTGATTTCTACCATATTAACAGATAGCAACCATTGTATGTTAAAGGTCCCCCTTTTGAAAAATAAGTGATATCTCAGGTCTATTCCAAGGTAAGAGACGTGGGACAGAATCCACAACCCTCATATTGTTTAAAGTTAGTTTTAAAGTTGAACTTAAGCTTAACGTGAAGTATAAACAGTGTGAGTTAGCCAAAAGGTTAAACCTCCTTCTATTGTTAAAGTGGGATCTCATGTCTTTTTACTATGGAGCAATACAGATATGCAGCTATTGTAAAAGTATTACAATCCTACATATGTAAAAGTAAACACTGTCCATATTCAGGAATTTTAAACATGTTCTAAACCAAACCCAGTAGTATGAACCTGGAAATGGCAACAGGAGAAAGAACTGCTAAATCAGAGATGAGAAAAATGTAGGTTTCAGGTTTGTGAGAAAAAAGTGTGTGCTACTTTGACTCCATCTGTGTGAACAGGTGTTAACATTGGTGTACCTTTAGAAAGGCATTCGTTCATGGCCAACATGGAGAGAAAGAATGGTTATCGCAACCAATAACTTTCAATACATATGTGAATATATGGATTAAAACAAATCTGGTCATGAATATTTACCTGGTGGCTGAATGATGTAACATACCAAGTTTATTGTTTGGGTCAAAAAGAGACAGAGTGTCCATGAGTGTGTATACAGAGTAAAAACAAGGCAGTTTGGGGAAAAAAGCACAGTGTGTACAGCAGTGGTGGGAACAGAGTACAGACGTGAAATCTCACACACACCTGCCATGTACGGACTCTCCTACACTAACTATGACTATACAGTCTGTTTAACAACACTGACATGTAGGCTAACATTCACACCATGTAAGACTGTTATGTAAGAAAAAGAAAATGTTCCACGGGGACATTTGCTCCATCTGTACGTACTGCTGTAGTCTACAGAAGCATTTCACAACAACTGTGATTTATTACTCAATCATAAAACTCAGATCCATATTAAACTCATTCATCAGCCTCTGTCTCTTTGTGCTAAACTCAAGCTATGTAGGAATGATTTGCCTTCTTATCAATTTACTCATATGAAGTGGTGAAATGTAACTAATATATTCAAGTTTCATGAAACTGTCTACTACTACCCTCACTCCATTCTTCCCTTCAACCATTCATCCTTTCCTCCCTTCATATCTTCGACCCTAAATCCTTTCCTCCCTTTCTACATTTCATCATCCATTTATCCCTTCCTCACTAAATCCCTTATCCCTCCCTTCATCCCTTTATCATTCATCCCTTCCTCCTTACATCTCTTCAACCTTCCCTTCCTACATCCCTTTGACCCTTCATTCTTCCCTTTCTCACATCATCCATTCATCCCTACACCCACTCATCCCTTCTTCCCTATATACCTTAGACCCTATATCCTTTCCTCACTCCCTAGTTGACATCATCCATTTATCCCTCCCTACATCCCTTTATCCATTCGTCCCTTCCTCCCTACATTCCTTATTTCTCCCTCCTTACATCCTTTTGACCCTTCATCCCTTTCTCTTTAAATCTCTTCAACTCTCCTTCCCAACATCCCTTTGACCCTTCATTCATACCTCCCTCACTTCATCCATTCATCTTTCCCTTCGTACTTCCCTTCCTCCAATCATCCCTCCATTTGCCTAACAGATGGACGACATCTTTCATCCTTCTTTATCCCTTCTTCTTACTTTACTCAGACGCTTCTGATATAAGATATTGAGCGGAACAAACACTATATGTTCATTCATGTACTGTAAATGAATATGTTGGCTCACAGAGCAGAGGTCACTTACATAATGAACCCGATGAACCAAAACTTGCAGCAGAAACCAAATCATAACAGTAAATACAGGAATGTGTTTTCCCCCTGTTAACACTCGAATGATGGACGATGTCCTACACATGTGTTTGATTGGGACTTGCACATCGTGGTAATCAAGGAATGCGAGCCTGGAAACTATCTCCTTTATTGTTTAACTGTAAACATCATTACAATAAAGCGACATGTTTTTTTAGTGCAACTCATCATCCATATTGAGTTGACTGAGGGCTGACACCAGCCCTTTACATTAAACAACCTAATTGAGAAGCTTTCAATTTATAGCATAACATTTCTCCACTGACATGTCTGTAAAACGTCTAACTTATACATGGTGTTGAGTTGTGTGGTTACATTATCCCAAAGGTTTCCAAATACGTTGTTTAGTTAACAGTCTACAGTTTCAATTGGTCGCATGTTATGGGGTCATATTCCCCTTTGTTGTTGTCGTATAAAATCATTAAAAACTACCCATAAATTCCACATTAAAAGCAGTTCTGAAAAGATAATTATAGACATATTGGTACAGTTAGGATTTTGAAAGAAACGTGAACTCAATGGATGATTTACAGGAAATGTAGATGGTGTGTCATATTCTGTGTTTTTGAGATAATATAATCAAAAAAATCGCAATGGGATAGTATTGTGTTTCTTTTTTAAATAGAAAGGCAGAATTCTGTATAGTAGAGGCTGCAGGTTTGTTTGTTTGTTTGTTTGTTTGTTTGTTGTGTGATGACACCGACTTCCTGTCTGTTTTGGGTGTTAAGGCCCGGACACACCAAGTCGATTTTGGCCGTCGATGGGCGTCAGGCCGACGATGAGCATCGACACGCCCTACTCAGATTGGTGTGTCCCGCACCGTTGTGTCTTTTCAGCCGTGCCGACACCTTTTCGGCCGAAACCAGTCTGATTGGCTGTTCAGCTAGTGAATCAGTGCATGAGAAGCGAAACGGAAGTGAGGGACCCAAACAAACGATTAAGAAGGCACACACAGACGGCTATTCTTTTTCATTTTCATCTCAGCTGGACGCAAGAGTTTATTTTTCATCATATCGATCTGGAATGAAGAAACCGAAGACCAACGCACACGCTATTTGTTGTTTGTTTATATCACGCAGTCTGTTCTTCTTCTCTCGGTTATCACGCAGTCTGTCTTCCGGTTGTTGCCTCTTTTGAATGACGAATACACACTACCACCGCCTGCTGGTAAGGAGAGTTATTGCCACTCACGCATGCGCAGTTCGTACGTGCTACTTGGCCGTCGGCTGAAGTCTTTGCGGTGTGTTCCAGTGCGACTGTTGGCCAAGACGCAGAGACGTGAGGCGACACAACAGTCGTGTTCCGTCAGGACGTGTTCTTTGGTGTCAGTTTGGTGTGTCTGGGCCTTAAGTGTTGACCACATACCAAACATTCCAACTTTACAACTGTAGCTGCCTGAATTGTAAATACCCCAATAGTGAGGAAATGTGTTTGAACCAGAGAACAATATGAATCTGAAGGAGTCACCCTCTGTAGAGAAACCACAAACCAAACAAACTGCTTCAGGCCAGATTTGATTAAGGCTGCTTGTAGGAGAGAAGAGCTGCAGTGAAGGCCTCGAAACAGACCGAGAGCAACAGCTGTGGATCCCTGTAGGATTCATGGATGTATAGAGAGGTGCAGTGACGATGTATTTGTTTTAGGCTGACCCAGAAGTTAGCATCTCAAGGGCTCCCTCAACAAAAAGATAGATAGATAGATAGATAGATAGATAGATAGATAGATAGATAGATAGATAGATAGATAGATAGATAGATAGATAGATAGATAGATAGATAGATAGATAGATAGATAGATAGATAGATAGATAGATAGAACGTAAAGCTGTAAACAAACTACAACACTTCATCACCAGCGCTAACCTAAAAGTGGCTTATGTTGGGCATGATGAAGTCTATTTAGTCATCTACTGACTTATTTTATGTCGTAGGACAAAACATGAACCACAGACCTTATTTCGGGCTTCTAACCACAAACACGTAAAAAAAAATGTTGACTTCAAGACGAGTAAACCGGAGCTGGTAAAATGCTTAATAATTTCTGGGTTTTAGCACTCGTTTCTGCACCACTTTGAAAGTTGCTCAGTGGAACATTAAGCTAACAATGGCCGGAGTCTCTTGAATATAGATACCCAGATCTGCTTGTGGTCTTCCACATCCAATGGGCTCATAGAGCATGTGCCCTTGCATGTTCATTAAGCCCCGCCTCTAATCCACTCCGTCACGGCCGTATCTCATCCGGTGTCTCCTCAATCAACTGAATGGAGGAAAATACAGATTTCTTTAGATTTCTAGTTTTGGGTCATCATAACATTTTAAAACAGGAAACAGTTTGTAAGAGTGACCTGTCATCATGTCAATGAGTGATCAGACGTTTTTGTAAACTGGGTCATGCAAACAAGTTATCAGACAGACATAAAGGAACTCATCGAAAATAAAGT